CGCTGAGCTTCCTGTAAATCCGTAATTAGAAAATAATATGCGTAAACTGAACCAAATTTGACCATTAATTACGTTTGGAATTAAGAACATTTTACTAAAAGAGTCTCAAATTAGAATTTGGAGTCAAATTAAATTAATTCCAATTTCTGTCAAGTGGTCATGATAGAGTTAATTAATAATTAAGCTGAGCTTCCTGTTAATCCATAATTAAGACACAATATGCGTAAACTGAACCAAATTTGACAATTAATTACGTTTGGAATTAAGAACATTTTACTAAAAGAGTCTCAAATTAGAATTTGGAGTCAAATTAAATTAATTCCAATTTCTGTCAAGTGGTCATGATAGAGTTAATTAATAATTAAGCTGAGCTTCCTGTTAATCCATAATTAAGACACAATATGCGTAAACTGAACCAAATTTGACAATTAATTACGTTTGGAATTAAGAAAATCTTACTAAGAGTCTCCAATTAGAATTTGGAGTCAAACTAAATTCACTCCAGTTTCTGTCAAGTTGACACGATGGAGTTAATTGTGCAAACTGACCCAAATTTGGAATTTAATTAAAGTCAGGTACTTAGCGTCTTAGATTACGAATTTGAATTAAATTAACACCAATTTCTGTACAGGTCTCAAGGCGCAATTAACTAATTTGCGATGAATTGAAATTATGCGTCCAGAATCTATTGGAGATCATTATCGCGCATTGCTGCATCAAATAATGCGGCGATTCAGAACCAATTATGCGCTATCTGCACCAATTCAAATGTCCAAAATTTGTGCTTTATTTAGCGGTAAGCCCGAATTTTGCGCGATTGGTGTACAACTTTGCACTCAGCTAAGAGAAATGGTACCCTCTAAGGTTTAAACACGAATTAATCGAAACCTTGCGCCGTTTTAAGCGCACAACAGACGTAAATTATGCGCTCTTAGAGAAAAAGTAATGCAAAGTGCCGAAGAAAATCAATAATGCACATACAAAGAAGCGAAAGTTAAATTGGTACCTACCCCGGGTCTATCCAAAAATTAGCTTAAGATCCGGTATCCCTCTTTCCACTATCGGCACCAGATCCTCGACGCTCATTGGTTATCTGCCTCGGTGCGAAGCGGCGGTTCAACCCTTAATTAGCTCAATCTAATTTTGACACTCGCGGATGACCCCACGCGTTCTTGCGAACTGCTCGAGAAAAAAAGCGTTAAGGGCGAAAGGACACGCGATCGAAGATTGGAAAAATTCCCATTTTCACACCATCTAATCAACGAAATGGCTCGAATTGTGCGGAGGTTCGATTCGCCCAGTTATAAATAAGTGGTGCCAGGAACGCAAGTGCTCTAATTGTGTTACATCGCACTTGAAGGCATTATCACATTGTAATTCCATCGCGTGCTCGTCTTTTCAGTCAGATCTCAAACTATGTTCGTCTATGGTCCGCGAATTGTTAACGATTCGGACGTGGACTCCAGCACGGAGGATGAGTCCGAGGAGACGATTTTGGTTGTAGTTTTCGGTCGCGCTGAGTGTAACTTTGGCTGTTGCAGCGTCGGCGGGAGGAATGCGAGAGGAAGGCGCGTAGGGGCGAGATGGACCCCAGGTTGGAGTACACCTTTCAGCTGCTCATCGATGGCACCGGACTGAGCAGGCACGAGATTATGGACCACGTGTTCGAGGGAAACATGGTGAGTACCCTTTCGCTCTTGTACACTGTTCGAGCCCCTCTCGCTTTCAGCTGGACGAAATTAACCAACTGTTCATTCCCCACGCGAAAACGAAACTGATGTGGTTCTACCAGGACATGGAGGAGGAGGTCGAGGTGCCGGTTGATGTTAACAAACCCGGTACCAGTCGCACCCTGCAGACGAGCGTTAGTCGCACGCATAACACGGTGACGAAGAAGAAACTCTTCCTCACGGACGGCTGGGAGTATCCTCTTACCGGAATTTGCATTTACATCTTTCGAATTAACACAACGAAACAGCTCCCAGAGGAAGGCTTCCACAAGGACCTGTACTGTGGCGTAATCGACGCGGAGAGAATCGGACTGGTAACCGCGGTCGAACGCATTATTCGACACGTTTTCATGGAGGCGCTCGCCTTTCCCAGCAACGACTGCGAGGACGACGCCTCCAACTGCCCCATGGTCAAAAACCAACTTCTACCGGGACTCAGATCGTTCTGCAGCGCACTAAAAGGTACCCGGTTTAGTCATAATCCGCGATTCACCCTGAGTTTCAGTTTGCGAGGAGGTCTGCGGCAAACCGAATATCTTCGACGACGGCAGAACGCTCGTGTCGGGCCTGAACGTGGAGCAACTGAAGGAGCTGGCGAAACAACCTGACGAAGTGGAGTTTTTGCAGAACAGGGTGAAGAATTGGATGAAGTACCTTTCGGACACCCTTAAGGAGAGCGACCAGATTCGTAGGGAGAATGACTCCTCAGGTGGGTACTGATATAATAGATTCGCGTGAAGTTAGCAAAAGCATTCAAGCAATAATGGATTTGCATCTTTAAAGTGAAGTCCGCAATTCAGCAAAAAATATGCAGATGGTATTCCATACCCCCCCCCCCCAGACCCCCCGGTTCTACATTCTGTACTAAAATGCTTGTACCCTTAGCACTTACACCATAATTTTTCGAAAGAGTTTTTAGCGCTGAACGTTTTGAGGGTAAACGTATGATCGGGTGGGTCTGGGGGTTATGGAATACCCCCCAGACCCCCCGGTAAACGTATGACCGGGGGGTCGCGGGGGGGTATGGAATACCCCCCAGTGTACGCAAGTGAATGAAGATTAACTGTGTATTGTTCCTGGGGGGGTATTCCATACCCCCCAGACACCCCGGTTCTACATTCTTCACCAAAATGTTAGTACTCTTAGCACCTTCAACCATCATTTTTCAAAATAGTTTTTAGGGCTGAACGTTTTGGGGGTAAACGTATGACCAGGGGGTCTGGGGGGTATGGAATACCCCACAGTGTACGCAAGTAAATGAAGATTAACTGTTTCTTGTTCCTGGGGGGTATTCCATTACCCCCGCAGACACCGTTCCTACCATTCTTCACCAAATGTTAGTACTGTTAGCAACCTTCAACATCATTTTAAAAAATGTTTTTGGGCTGAACTTTTGGGGGTAAACGTATGACCAGGGGGTCTGGGGGGTATGGAATACCCCCCAGTGTACGCAAGTAAATGAGGATTAACTGTTTCTTGTTCCTGGGGGGTATTTCATACCCCCAGGCCCCCCCTGTTCTACATTCTTCACCAAAATGTTAGTACCCTTAGCACTTACACCATTATTTTTCAAAGGGATTTTTAGGCCTGAACGTTTTGAGGGTGAACGTATGACCGGGGGGTCTAGGGGTATAGAATACCCCCCAGTGTACGCAGGTAAATGAAGATTAACTGTTTCTTGTTCCTGCGGGTATTTCATACCCCCCAGACCCCCCTGTTCTACATTCTTCACCTAAATGTTAGTAACCAATAATGTTTCAAAAGAGTTTTCAGGTCTTTTGTGGGTAAACGTATCATAGAGGGGTCGGGGGGGGGGGGGTATGGAATATATTAGCACATTACAACTTGGCTTGTAGGCCCTCAAGACGAACTGGAATACTGGAAGAAACGTGGCGCCACATTCTCGCAGATCGTCAACCAACTCCAAGTGCAGGAGGTGCAATTTACCATCATGTGCCTCCAGTTCGCGCGCTCCAAGGTAATGAAGGAGTGGCGCGAGACCGACCAGAAAATCACCTTTTGTTACAACGAGGCCAAGGACAACGCAAAGTTCATACAGGCCCTCGAAAAGAACTGCCACTCCCTTTACCTGGACGATCCCGTAAGTGCCCCCTCTTCAACCGTCCACCCTAACGCCTCTTCCAGGTTAAAATGAAAGACTCAATATTGGGCCTACTGCAAACCGTACGATTAATCCACAGCGTCTCCCAATTCTACAACACCTCCGAGCGAACCTCGGCCCTCATGGTGAAGATCACAAACCAGATGATCGAGACGTGCAAGGAGTACGTGACCTGCAGAGGTAACGAGACGATCTGGTCGCAAGACAGGGCCCTCGTCAAAGAGAAACTGACCCAGTGTATCGTGCTGAATCAGATCTACAGGCGCACGTACCACACCGTCAAAAGCCAACCCTTCATTCCCGACCAGATGCCCTTTAACTTCTCCGAAAACTACGTCTTCGGCAAGTTCAACGCGTTTTGCAACCGCCTGGGAAAGATCATCGCAATGTTCGACATCATCGACGACTTCAGCGAGCTTTTCAAGAAGCGCATGGAAGGCCTTTTGCTGGGCGAAAGTAAGTGGTCGCCCGCCTTCTTCCCCATCTAACCCCCCCTTAAGCTCTAGACGAGGCGGTTTTGAGCTTCAACGAGGCCGAAGGGATAATCGTCAACAAGCCCTACGACTACTTGGACCAGCGAAACGCCGAGTTCGACAACGACTTTCAATCGTTCCTGGCGCGTCTCGAGGACCTGAAGAAGGAGATCGCGAACATCATCGAGCTCAACTACGAGAACGTATGGGAGACGCCTCAGGGCATCAAGTTCCTCTCCAAATTCGAGAAGGTCAAGGAGAAGATTCCGCTAACGAACATGGACAACAAGTACGAGCGCATACTGAAGTACTGCGAGAAGGAGGTGAGCCGTATCGTTACAATGTACAAGAAGGAGAAGGACGATCCGCCGGTGTGTCGGATGTTTCCGCCGATTGCGGGTAAGTCGCCGAATAGTTGCGTCGCGTCTCTTTTTAAGGGCATTTTAGGGCGAATTAAGTGGGCGAGATCCTTGGTGTATCATCTGTCGGAACTTATGGAAAACGTGACCGACCATCCGATTTTGAAAACGCTACCAGCCGCCGTCGAGCTCACTAAGAGGTACAAAAATGCGGAGGCCATGTTGAAGGGCTACGAGAAAGATATGGTTGAGATATGGATGTCGCAGCATGTAAGTTCAAAAATTTGGAAATTCGGCACAAATTGACTCGCCCAATCAGACCTTTATTTTGCCTAGGTTTGTGCCCGGCTCGCGCTCAGCTCGCTGGGCACTGGTTTTGAAACTATTTTCCTTTTTTGGAAGTTTAATGAGAGATCTGTATCAATTCTGAACGAGTCAAAAACGAGATCGGCACAAACCTAGGCAGAATAATGGTCTGAGAGGGGGAGTCAGTTTGTGCCGAAGTGATTGGGCTACTAGTTCAAAAGTTACAGCCCTTTGAATTTTTTTTCAAAATTGGTTTCTAGTCTATAACTTTTGATTGAGAAGTTTGATCGAAAAAGTACGAATTGATTTGGATTCTACGCACCCAAATTAATAAGAAAAAGTGTTTTCCCGAGAAATTTTGTTGTAGTCGATTTTTGGTAAAAAAGGAAGGTTATACACTGCCTTTTTTTGAGGCCCGAAAAAAAAATTGTCTCAGATTGACCCGGAAAAAAAATTTTCTTATAGAATGTGGCCTGTAGAATCCATAATTTCAAACAGTTCCAAGATTGGGCTACTAGTTCAAAAGTTACAGCCCTTTGAATTTTTTTTCAAATTGGTTCCTAGTCTATAACTTTTGATTGAGAAGTCTGATCGAAAAAGTACGAATTGTTTTGGATTCTACGCACCAAAATTAATAAGAAAAAGTGTTTTCCCGAGAAATTTTGGTGCAGTCGATTTTTGGTAAAAAAGGAAGGTTATACACTGCCTTTTTTTGAGGCCCGAAAAAAAATTGTCTCAGATCGACCCGGAAAAAAAATTTTCTTATAGAATGTGGCCTGTAGAATCCATAATTTCAAACAGTTCCAAGATTGGGCTACTAGTTCAAAAGTTACAGCCCTTTGAATTTTTTTTGAAATTGGTTTCTAGTCTATAACTTTTGATTGAGAAGTCTGATCGAAAAAGTACGAATTGTTTTGGATTCTACGCACCAAAATTAATAAGAAAAAGTGTTTTCCCGAGAAATTTTGGTGTAGTCAATTTTTGGTAAAAAAGGAAGGTTATACACTGCCTTTTTTTGAGCCCCGAAAAAAAAATTGTCTCAGATCGACCCGGAAAAAATTTTTTCTTATAGAATGTGGCCTGTAGAATCCATAATTTCAAACAGTTCCAAGATTGGGCTACTAGTTCAAAAGTTACAGCCCTTTGAATTGTTTTTTGAAATTGGTTTCTAGTCTATAACTTTTGATTGAGAAGTTTGGTCGAAAAAGTACGAATTGATTTGGATTCTACGCACCCAAATTAATAAGAAAAAGTGTTTTCCCCAGAAATTTTGGTGTAGTCGATTTTTGGTAAAAATGGAAGGTTATACACTGCCTTTTTTTGAGCCCCGAAAAAAAAATCGACTCAGATCGACCCGGAAAAAACATTTTCTTATAGAATGTGGCCTGCAGAATCCGTAATTTCAAACAGTTCCAAGATTGGGCTACTAGTTCAAAAGTTACAGCCCTTTGAATTTTTTTTGAAATTGGTTTCTAGTCTATAACTTTTGATTGAGAAGTCTGATCGAAAAAGTACGAATTGTTTTGGATTCTACGCACCAAAATTAATAGAAAAAGTGTTTTCCCGAGAAATTTTGGTGCAGTCGATTTTTGGTAAAAAAGGAAGGTTATACACTGCCTTTTTTTGAGCCCCGAAGAAAAAATTGTCTCAGATCGACCCGGAAAAAAAATGTTCTTATAGAATGTGACCTGTAGAATCCATAATTTCAAACAGTTCCAAGCTTGGGTTTCTCAAATTCCAAAATCTTTGAATTCTCAAATTTTGGAATTGAGAGCTCTTCCTGTTCACTAGCCTGTCAAATCACGTACAGGTATGGGACGTAGACAAGTGCCTCAGCAGACCTTTGATAGCAATCTGCTCCGAAACGCAAACCTTCAAGGTCAACCTGCACAACAGCATCCCTCTACTGATTAGAGAATCGGACATACTGTCGAAAATGGACCTTCCTCTGCCCATGGTCGCCCTCACCTTGTATACCAAGCAGGACCATTTCACGCTGATCAAGGACTCTTTGCAGGTGAGACGTCTCCAACGAATGTAATCTTCAGGCGTCTCTTTGTAGTTTCTCATCAATAACACGCTGGAAGTAATGCGCGGGGTCAAGCAGGAGATTAGGCCGCTACTTCTGCCGCAGCTGGTGAGATACATTAGCTTGCTTTCGCCGGCTTTGAGCGAGGTGACTTGGGTGTCGAGCGATTGGAAGTCTTTCGTGGATGGCGTGAACGGCGGATTGGACGCGTTTAAAGTTTTGGTCGATCGCACACATGACATCTACGCAAACCGCATTCTCGAGGTCCTCGCCGCCATGCAGACGGTCACGCTTCACTCGCTACCCGACGTGGACGAAGAACCGTGGAGCCTGGAGGACTTTTGCGAGCGCACGGAGACGGTCTGTCGACTGGCCGCTACCGACTTGCATCGCAAGAGTTTGATGGTTGAGGAGGCCGTCGAGGAGATTATTGACTTGGTGCGCAAGGCTCAGCAGAGGCACCCAACGTACGTGGGAGATGAAGTCTTCTATTTTGACGGTGAGTGCGCCCCCATGCGTGGTTACACGCTGAACAGCTTTTACAGATGACGTCCAGGGCGAAGGTCAGATCGACGCCGATAGCGTTTCGACTCAGCAGCCCGCCGATTGGAGCCTAGTGTGCGAGTGCTTCGAGAAACCGCACATTTTAGTGGGCGGTGGTCTTCTGAGGGCGCTCCAAGACACAGTTAAAGGGGCGATGAGCGAGATGAGACGATTTTACAGTCGCAAAGTGGTCGACGTCCTGACGAAGATCACGCGCCACTCTCTGGACGTTCTCAGGAGACGCTTTACAGAGTTCGGTACGTACACCGCTAGTAATAACGAGATTAGTACCATTCTTTAACAGAAGATGGCGTCTGGTCGCCTGTTTTTGTTCTAAACTCCATCCTTATGATACCCAAAGTGGCGATACAGCCGAACTTGGACGACGTACAGGACGCGTTGGTTCAGGCCGGCAAGTTCATAACCTCGGTTTCGAGGGGAGTGGGGCAGTGGACCGGCGGAAAACCCGAGGTAATTTCACCACGCCATCTATTAATAGTATCCGTAACCTTTGTTAAAACCTGTTTTATTAATCATAATCTTTTTTCTTCCACCTTTTAAACACACAATTGCATTCTAAATATATAAATGAACACACACTGTATATATTATAAACTCGCATCATTCCCCACACACCCAAAAAAAAAAACACGGCACCAACGCTTTGTACATACACATTACGCAAGACGCCGGTCAAGAAGTCAAAGTGGAAAAAATTGGTCGGCCACCAACGAACGCTTTTGGAAATTGTATCTCGTTGTACCGAACAGAGATCGTCGAAGCACGGCGTTAAGAGCAGGGAAGAAGATTTTAGGACTAGGCGTAGGCGTCTGTACCGGCTGACGACCGAGGAGAAGCCCGCGTTTCCGATTCAGGCGAGGAACTTTTACAATAACGTTATGGAAAACAAGGAGGTGGTGAAGACGCTTTCGTTACTGTCGACGTGCACCCAGAATATGAAACAGGTCAGTACGTGATTGGTGAGTTTATATTAAAAGTTCGCAATATTGTGTTCATTTGATTCCGTCTATCAACTATGCTTAAAAACAGAAACACCTCCCCGCACAGTATATTCTCCTGATATAGACATTGCAAGAGTGAGCAACCGGTGGTATATTCAAAGCCTAATTTGCGTAAATTTATGACAAGAAAAAGTGCTCAGATAAGCGCCAAATTTAAATATTCCAAAATCAAAATCGATACGTTACCTAAATCATACCTTGAGATCAATAAATACTGCCAAATGCAGGTAATACATCGCCTGCTTTAATTAGGATGCAAAAGTTATAGGGTGAAAATTAAATAAAATAAACAAATTAAACTAACTGAAAATTCTACCCCCAAAATCTTACGCCCAGAGGATATAATGAAGTGTTCAGAGAAACGCAAACGCAATTCAGTTTAACTTCGATTGAACGATTGTTTCAACTCCTGCAGACAAATTTTAGGTATGAGTTGTATCACAAAACACTCTTTGCCCATACACAACTTTTGTTTATTGATCAGATTTTGCCGAATTTTCATGACTTGTATTAGGAGAGTATAAGACTATGAAACATTTTTCCTTCTTCCCGTCTGTTGTAGTTTCCTAGTAGCCAAAAAATGTTTACGAAAATGTTCCAAAATGCATTAAAGGCAGACATTTTCCTGTTTTCCTGATAAAGAATTTGTAAGAATTTAATTGATGGCAAGCTGGTAAAACGTTTCTCTTCAGCTTATAAAATGATCTATTGTGGTTTCTCAGTAGCCAGACAAACTTTACAAGCAGCTTCTACACCTCCTAGTACATTACATTCCCCCGTTAACATTTTGAAAACGTTTAAGGTAAGGTAAAGTGTTGAAGTATTTCTGTGGGTGATGGATGCATCATGTTCTCCTGAAATCAGAGATATTTTACAAAAGTTTGATGTGATACCAAAGACCACCCGTACTCTGCATTAGAATAACAAGCACCTCCTCACAGATCATATGCTCCTGGTACAAGATTAAAGCAAATCCTCTTCTGTGGCACATTTTATTATCCTGAAACAAAATTCTAAAGTAAAAATAAAGTGTTGAAACATATTCTTCCTGAGGTTCTCCATCAAAACCATTTGTTTGACCACTTAAAGTTTAGTTTTCGGTAAGACGTCATTGAATGTAGCACCGGGGGGTCTGGGGGGTATGGAATACCCCCTCAGTAAACGAATAGTGTATTTATATGAGTATACGAATGTTCTTATGGTGATAACGATGATGATTAGAGGTAAACCGATATTGAAATGCGTATGCTGGGGGGTATTCCATACCCCCCAGACCCCCCGATGTTACGTTCTCCACCAAAACCATTTGTTTGACCACTCTAAGTTTAGTTTTCGGTAAGAAATCATTGAATGTAGCACCGGGGGGTCTGGGGGGTATGGAATACCCCCCCAGTAAACGAATAGTGTATTTATATGAGTATACGAATGTTCTTATGGTGATAACGATGATGATTAGAGGTAAACCGATATTGAAATGCGTATGCTGGGGGGTATTCCATACCCCCCAGACCCCCCGATGTTACGTTCTCCACCAAAACCATTTGTTTGACCACTCTAAGTTTAGTTTTCGGTAAGAAATCATTGAATGTAGCACCGGGGGGTCTGGGGGGTATGGAATACCCCCCCAGTAAACGAATAGTGTATTTATATGAGTATACGAATGTTCTTATGGTGATAACGATGATGATTAGAGGTAAACCGATATTGAAATGCGTATGCTGGGGGGTGTTCCAGACCCCCCGGTGTTACGTTCTCCATCAAGAACCATTTGTTTGACCACTCTAGTTTTAGTTTTCGGTAAGAAATCATTGAATGTAGCACCGGGTGGGTGGGGGGTATGGAATACCCCCCCCCCCCCCAGTAAACGAATAGTGTATTTATATGAGTATACGAATGTTCTTATGGTGATAAACGATGATGATTAGAGGTAAACCGATATTGAAATGCGTATGCTGGGGGGTATTCCATACCCCCCAGACCCCCGATGTTACGTTCTCCACCAAAAACCATTTGTTTGACCACTCTAAGTTTAGTTTTCGGTAAAATCATTGAATGTAGCACCGGGGTGGTGGGGGGTATGGAATACCCCCCCCCCCCCAGTAAACGAATAGTGTATTTATATGAGTATACGAATGTTCTTATGGTGATAACGATGATGATTAGAGGTAAACCGATATTGAAATGCGTATGCTGGGGGGTATTCCATACCCCCCAGACCCCCCGATGTTACGTTCTCCACCAAAACCATTTGTTTGACCACTCTAAGTTTAGTTTTCGGTAAGAAATCATTGAATGTAGCACCGGGGGGTCTGGGGGGTATGGAATACCCCCCCAGTAAACGAATAGTGTATTTATATGAGTATACGAATGTTCTTATGGTGATAACGATGATGATTAGAGGTAAACCGATATTGAAATGCGTATGCTGGGGGGTATTCCATACCCCCCAGACCCCCCGATGTTACGTTCTCCACCAAAACCATTTGTTTGACCACTCTAAGTTTAGTTTTCGGTAAGAAATCATTGAATGTAGCACCGGGGGGTCTGGGGGGTATGGAATACCCCCCCAGTAAACGAATAGTGTATTTATATGAGTATACGAATGTTCTTATGGTGATAACGATGATGATTAGAGGTAAACCGATATTGAAATGCGTATGCTGGGGGGTGTTCCAGACCCCCCGGTGTTACGTTCTCCATCAAGACCTCAATGGTCCTAAAGGCCTATCACTGTACGGACTTTTAAAACTTTTCGAGACACTCAATCATTAATGAAATGTTAAAAGCTTCAAAGACACACAAATCTCTTTTAAGGGCAGAAAACGATCTCAAAAAAACTTCGAACCTTATGTCTTTTATAACCCCTACAAACCTTTGGGGGCCCACAAAGGTTTCATAAATGCTCTTATGGACTTTGGTAATTGTTGGAGACTTGGAGGCCGTTAAAGACTGTCATAGACCTTAGGGGTTTCTAACATTTTTCCTAAAAGCTCTCCAAAATACTGATATTAAAAGCTCGTATAGAAAGCTAAGGATTCTTAAAGGTTTTATTGAATGGCTGTGAGAACCAGGTGGCCATTTGCAAAGAAAATGACGGATAATAACTTTTCCTCCGGAAAATTACCGGAACTTATCCAAAAATTGCTGAGAAGATATATATCTTGAAATTTACACATCAGCAAAAAATCAAATTTTGTGAATTTGGCAGAGGAAAAATTGATTTGATCCTCAAAAAATGACAAAAAGCAAATTTGGTAGGCGAAAATCACTGAAAAAATAAATTTGCACCCAAAATGATATATGAAATCTAAATACCCAAAAATTTATGGTGGTTGGACTCCAAATAGCACTAACATAGCATCAAAGATAGAGTAGATTTTTTGGCATACGTTGCACAATATTGAAATCTAGTGCTATTCGGTTATTGCTAACTTCACATGAAATAAGTTGCTATCACGGGTAGATATTTCTTTGTGCCTATCCATATCTACAGTCGACTGCTAAATAAAGAAAACTTTCTTAGGACCTAAATAACTTCTTAACAAAATGGCGACCGTACAACATGTTGTGGCGCAACGAAAAGTCACAGCGCGAACTTCTAAACTGCTGCTTGTCGGAATTCGAGTCTTCGCTGCAAAAACACGAAGAGCTCGACAGTCGTCTATCAATCGAGCCCGATATGCACAACATCGGCACTTTCCTCGCGATATCAACCGAAAGGCTCAAATACGGGCTTAACATTGAGATCAAATCCTGCACCCAGAGGTAGGTTACCACCCGGGTCTTGCGCTACCTACTAAACCGCTTCGCTTCTCAGAATTGGGATGGCGATGAAGAAGAAGTACCGTCGCGAAATGGACTACGTTTACGCCGTCATAAACGAAATGGCAAAAAAGCTGGACAAGTCGATACGCGACCTGGACGACGTGCGTCTAATTATGGACACCCTGAAGAAAATCCGAGAGCAAGAGGTCGACATGGAGTTGAAAATTGAACCGATCGAAGAGGCGTTCAACATCCTGACCCGTTACGAGGTCAACGTCGAGAAGACCGTGCTCGAGCAGGTCGACAATCTGCGCTACACCTGGACGGAGCTCATGCAGAAAGCGCTCAAGGTCAACGTGGACCTGCTCGCGATGCAGCCCCACTTTCAGGGGGAGCTCAGGACGAACTTGGCGAACTTCAAGCAGGACAAGATCGATTACTGCAACGAGTACCGGGACGCCGGGCCCATGGAGCCGGGACTCGCGCCTCGCGAGGCCTCCGATCGGCTCATACTGTTTCAGAATCGCTTCGACGGCATGTGGAGGAAATTGCAAACCTACCAGAGCGGCGAGGAGCTCTTCGGGCTGCCCACCACCGACTACCCGGAGATGGCCCAGATACGCAAGGAGCTCAATTTGCTTCAGAAGCTCTACAAGCTGTATAACGATGTCATCGATCGCGTGAACAGCTACTACGACATTCCATGGGGGGAGGTTAACATTGAGGAGATCAATAACGAGCTGATGGAGTTTCAGAATAGGTGCCGGAAGTTGCCGAAGGGTCTCAAGGAGTGGCCGGCTTTCTTCGCGCTTAAGAAGACCATTGACGACTTTAACGACATGTGCCCGCTGCTGGAGTTGATGGCGAATAAGGCGATGAAGCCGAGGCATTGGCAGCGAATAATGGATTCGTTGAAGTACACGTTCGAGCTGGAGAGCGATGGTTTTTGTTTGAAGAACATCTTGGAGGCGCCCCTGCTGCAGCACAAGGAGGATATTGAGGTGAGCGCGTGCGAAACGATCCCTTTATCCGTGGCGTAGGATATTTGTATTTCAGCGATGAAAGAGCGCGACATCGAGGCGAAACTCCGCCAGGTGACCAACGAGTGGTCGGTACAGGAGCTGACCTTTATGACGTTCAACAATCGAGGCGAGTTGCTGCTGCGCGGCGACACGACGGCGGAAACAATCGGGCAACTCGAGGACAGTCTCATGATACTCGGCTCTCTGCTGTCCAACAGGTACAACGCGCCGTTTCGCAAGCAAATCCAGCAGTGGGTCACCGATCTTTCGAACACCAACGAAATTTTGGAAAGGTGGCTGTTGGTACAAAACATGTGGGTCTACCTGGAGGCGGTGTTCGTCGGTGGCGACATCGCCAAGCAACTGCCGAAGGAGGCCAAACGGTTTTCAAAGATCGACAAGTCGTGGCAGAAGATAATGCAGAGGGCTCACGAGACGCCCGGTGTCGTCTCTTGCTGCGTCGGCGATGATTTGCTGAAGCAGCTGCTGCCTCATCTCCAAGAGCAATTGGAGCTCTGTCAGAAGTCGCTCAGCGGTTACCTGGAGAGAAAACGCATGATGTTCCCGCGCTTCTTCTTCGTCTCCGACCCCGCTCTGCTGGAGATCCTCGGGCAGGCCTCCGACTCGCACACCATCCAGAACCACCTCCTCTCGATCTTCGACAACACCCGGTGGGTGAAGTTTCACGACATCGAGTACAACAAAATGACCGCGATCGTGTCGTCGGAACACGAGGTGATACCCCTCGAGAAGGCGGTCCGCGCCGAGGGCAGCGTGGAGACTTGGCTAACGCAGCTTCTGGTCACCTCCCAGGTCTCCCTCCACTCGATCATACGACAGGCGAACCTCAACATCAACGACACAAACTTCAACCTGCTCTTCTTCCTCGACAAGGTACCGGCCCAGATCGGCCTGCTCGGCTTGCAGATGATTTGGACGAGGGACGCCGAGCTCGCCCTGATGCAGGCGCGAATGGACAAGAAGATCATGGCGGAGACGAACAACAAGTTCCTGGAGCTGCTCAATACGCTCATCGATCAGACAACGAAGGACCTCACCAAGATCGAACGCACCAAGTTCGAGACTTTGATCACCATTCACGTGCACCAGCGCGATATTTTCGATATTTTGTGCCGGATGAACGTGAGGCACGTGCACGACTTCGAGTGGCTGAAGCAGTGCCGGTTTTACTTCAAGGAGGAGACGGACAAGACCTTGATCGTAATTACCGACGTCATATTTTCGTACCAGAACGAGTATTTGGGCTGCACGGATCGATTGGTGATTACTCCCTTGACGGACAGGCGAGTATTATTAAAAACATTTTTATTCCCCTCCCCCCACCACCCCTCCAGTACCGGAGGAATAGGGGGAGGTACAGAAACGCAAGGGGGTGACTTTGGCGTTTTAGGTGTTACATCACGTTAGCTCAGGCGTTGTCGATGAGCATGGGTGGCGCCCCCTGTGGTCCCGCCGGTACCGGTAAGACCGAGACAGTCAAAGACATGGGAAAAACGTTGGCGAAGTACGTCGTGGTCTTCAATTGCTCAGACCAAATGGACTATCGAGGTTTGGGACGGATCTACAAAGGTGAGTGCGACGCCTAGTGGCCGGACGGTAACTATTCCGGCGGTAGGTTTGGCCCAGTCTGGATCGTGGGGTTGCTTTGACGAGTTTAACCGCATCGAACTTCCTGTGCTGTCGGTGGCTGCCCAACAGGTCGCGGTGGTGCTGGGCGCCAAAAAGGAGAAGAAGAAGTCGTTCGTGTTCACGGACGGCGATACCATCGAACTCTGCACGGAGTTTGGAATTTTCATCACCATGGTAACGTCCCGCCTTGTAAGGCCTTTACTCATGTTCAGTTTTAGAATCCCGGATACGCGGGACGCAAGGAGCTACCCGAGAACCTAAAGATACAATTCCGCACAGTTTCCATGATGGTACCGGACAGGCAGATAATAATAAGGGTCAAGCTGGCCAGCTGCGGGTTCCTGGAGAACATAACCTTGGCGCGGAAATTCTACACCCTGTATAAGTTGTGCGAGGAGCAGCTCACCAAGCAGGTGCACTATGACTTCGGATTGCGCAACATCCTCTCGGTACTGCGCACCCTGGGGGCGGTGAAGCGAGTCAATCAAAAGGACGGGGAAAGCACGATCGTAATGCGGGTCTTGCGCGACATGAACCTGTCAAAGCTGATTGACGAGGACGAGCCGCTGTTTAACTCGCTAGTTTCGGATCTGTTCCCAACTCAAAGCTTGGAGAAGACCGCCTATCCCGAACTGGAGGAGGCCATAAGTACGCAAGTTGAGGAGGCCGTTTTGGTTAACCACGCCGCTTGGCAGATTAAGTTAATTCAGGTGAGCTGAATTCCCCCGCCCCACCTCGTTCACGTCTCCTCCTTCAGCTCTACGAGACTCAGAGGGTGAGGCATGGGATCATGACGTTGGGACCAACAGGCGCGGGGAAGACCACCTGCATCCGTACGCTGATGAAGGCACTGACGCAGTTAGGCACCGCCCACCGCGAAATGCGCATGAATCCTAAAGCGATCACTGCGTCGCAGATGTTTGGACGCCTGGACGTGGCGACCAACGATTGGACCGACGGCATTTTCTCGGCTCTTTGGAGGAAAACTTTAAAGCTGCGAGACGACGAGTACGTCTGGCTTGTACTCGACGGGCCGGTCGACAGTATTTGGATCGAGAACCTCAACTCGGTGCTCGATGACAATAAAACGTTGACTTTGGCGAACGGCGACCGGTTATCCATGGCGCCGACCTGCAAGATCATCTTCGAACCCCACAACATTGACAACGCATCTCCGGCCACAGTCTCGCGCAACGGTATGGTCTACATGAGCTCATCGGGACTCACCTGGAAGCCAGTCGTACAGGCTTGGTTAAAGGCGAGAAGCGTCAAAGAGCAGGAGGTTTTTGACGCGGTGTTTCAGGCATCCTTCAGCACCCTCTACACTTGGTTCACCCAAAACCTTTCGCCGGTAATGGAAGTTCTCCAATGCAACGTCACCTTGCAAATCCTGAACTTGCTGGAGGGCCTGGTGCCCGCGCAGGTCGAAGAAACCGAAGACGTCTCCGCGTCAAAGTCGGATCACGGCGACATGGACGACGATCTCGCCGAGGAAACGGTGAAAAGCGCGGAACCGGTCGAGCTACTCACCGCCGAGCACTTATCCAAGCTCTACGTCTTCGCGTTAACGTGGGGCATGGGTTCGCTGCTCGAAACGCAGGATCGCGCCAAGTTCGACGCCTTCCTCAAGGAGAACCTGCAAAACCTCGATCTGCCCGTCAATAACTCGCGGAACGTCAACGCGACAGTTTTTGACTACGTCGTCAACGGGAGCGGGGAGTGGGAGCTGTGGAGCACGAGGGTCACCAACTACGTCTACCCCGAACTGGCGACCCCTGACTATGCAAGCATCCTGATACCGATCACCGATAACGTTCGCATCGACTACCTCATCGAGGTCATCGCGAAGCAGGCCAAGGGCGTCCTGCTCATCGGCGAGCAGGGCTCGGCGAAGACCGTGATGATCAAGGCCTACATGAAGAAGGCCAACCCCGAGAACTATCTCATACGCTCGTTCAACTTCTCGAGCGCGACGTCACCGTATCAATTCCAGAAGACCATCGAAAGTTACGTGGAGAAGCGGATGGGTAACACTTTCGGACCGGGCGGCGGTAAAAAAATGATAGCGTTCATCGACGACATTAACCTCCCCGAGATCAACTGCTGGGGCGACCAGGTTACGAACGAAATTGTCCGGCAGACGATGGACATGTGCGGGTTTTACAGCCTGGAGAAACCGGGCGAGTTTACGGCCGTCGTCGATCTGCAGTTTGTCGCGGCGATGAGTCATCCGGGCGGCGGCCGCAACGACATACCGTCGAGGTTGAAGCGTCATTTCTGCATATTGAACTGCCCCTTGCCGACCGAGGCCTCGATCGATAAGATCTTCGGGGTCATCGGCCAGGGACATTATAACGTGAAGCGGGGGTTCGCGGTTGATGTGCGCAACCTGGTGAAGCGTTTAGTGCCGATCACTAGATTGCTTTGGAGCGTGACCAGGGCGAGATTGCTTCCGACGCCCGCCAAGTTTCACTACGTCTTCTCGCTACGGGACTTGTCCCGAATCTGGCAGGGGATGGTGGGAACTTTGTCGACTGTGATCGAGTCGGAGAGCTGCTTGATGATATTGTGGAAGCACGAGTGCACGCGGGTGTTCTCGGACCGATTCACCATAATGGAGGACAAGGCGTGGTTCGACGAGCATATTCTGGCGATGATCGAGAAGGAGTTAGGCCCGCAGTACCGGACGATGTCGTTGCCCAACCCTGTCTTTGTGGATTTCATGAGGTAAGTTCGGCGGGAGGTACGCGCGCTTATGGTGAGGCTGCAGGGACGCGCCCGAGCCGACGGGGGAAGAAGGCGAGGAGGCCGATATGGAGCTGCCCAAAGTCTACGAGCCAGTGAGTGACGACAACGAGCTAAGGGAGCGCTTGGATATGTTTTTGGCTCAGTTCAATGAGATGGTGCGTGGCTCTGGCATGGACCTGGTGTTCTTCCCCGACGCCATGCTGCACCTCGTGAAAATCTCGAGAGTGATTCGCCATCCGCGTGGAAACGTAATGCTCGTCGGTAAGTATCTGGTACCACCAGGTCTCCCCCATCCGTCTTATCTTTGCGCAGGCGTCGGCGGCAGCGGAAAGCAATCTTTGACGAAACTGTCAACGTTCATAGCCGGATACAAGAGCTTCCAAATCGCACTGACACGCTCATACAACATCGCCAACTTCCTCGAGGACATCAAGGCTTTGTATCGATCGTGCGGGTGCCAGGCGAAAGGCACCACCTTCATATTTACCGACCTCGACATCAAAGAGGAGGGATTCTTGGAGTACCTCAACAACATCCTCTCCTCGGGCGTCATCTCAAACCTGTTCACAAAGGACGAGCAGTCGGAAATAGTCCAGGAGCTCACGCCGATCATGAGGAGGGAAAATCCGAAAAGAACCCTCAACGCGGAGGTCGTAATGGAATACTTCATGAACAGGACGTGTCAGAATTTGCACGTCGTCCTCTGCTTCTCGCCCGTAAGTGCCCAATCGCCCCCCCCCCCTCTCCCCAGCCTATCTCCAAACATCCATGTTCGATCCCTCTGCCAGACGATCCGGTCGTAGGTTCTTGAAGAGAGAGAGAAGGGGGGGGGGGGAACTTGAGATAAAACCTAATTGCAAAATCCTCCGCCAGGTCGGAGAAAAATTCCGCAGTCGTGCCATGAGATTTCCGGCCCTAATCTCAGGTTGCACCCTGGATTGGTTCCAGCCGTGGCCCAAAGACGCCTTGGTTTCCGTCGCCACTCACTTCTTGAGCAGCTTCGATATCGCGTGCACCGATAAGGTGAAGCAGGACCTGGTAGTGGCGCTCGGTTCGATTCAGGACATAGTCACGGAGACCTCCATCGACTACTTCCAGAGGTTCAGGCGCGCGACCCACGTCACGCCCAAATCGTACCTGAACTTCATCGCCGGCTACAAGAGCATCTACCAGAGCAAGCGGGAGGAGCTAAGCGAAGGCGCGTTGAGAATGGATACCGGCCTGGAGAAGCTCGCCGAGGCGTCCGCTTCGGTCGAGATATTAAAGAAGGAACTCGCCGCCATGAAAAAGGAGCTGGCCGAGGCGTCGCAACGCGCCGAAACCGTCCTGACCGAGGTGACCGAACGGGCGAGCCAAGCCGAAACCGTAAAAAACCAAGTGCAAATCGTCAAAGAAAAGGCCGAAATTTTGGTATCGTCGATTGCCGTAGAGAAGGCGTTGGCCGAGGAGAAGTTGGAGGCGGCCAAACCGGCACTGGAAGAGGCGGAGGCGGCACTCAACACGATTAAACCCGCGCACATCGCGACCGTCAGAAAACTGGGAAGACCGCCCCACCTGATCATGAGAATCATGGACTGCGTGTTGATCCTTTTCCAGCGAAAGTTGCTGCCTGTAACCGCGGACACGGCGGCTCCCAGCCCGAAACCTTCCTGGGCCGATTCGCTCAAGATGATGGCGTCCACGACCTTCCTGCTCCAGCTGCAGAACTACCCCAAGGATATCATTAATGACGAGATGATCGAGTTTTTACAGCCTTACTTTGAAATGGAGGACTACAACATGGATACGGCCAAGCGAGTTTGCGGAGACGTCGCCGGGTTACTATCGTGGACTAAGGCTATGGCCTTCTTCCATGGCGTTAACAAGGAGGTGCTTCCACTGAAAGCAAACCTTACGTTGCAAGAAGCGAGACTGAAGGTAAGCGCGTTTGGGTGGGTCAACTACTGATTACGTGTGTAGGTGGCCATGGAAGACCTGGCGGGAGCGGAAAGGCAACTAGAAGAGCGGGAGCAATCCCTGAGGGAAGTCAAAGAGCAATACGACAAAGCCGTGATGGAGAAGCAGCGTTTGACGGACGCCGCCAACTCCTGCCTTAGAAAAATGAACACCGCCACGACGTTGATCAACGGACTCGGTGGCGAGAAGGTGCGCTGGACGCAGCAGAGCAAAGAGTTCAAAGCGCAGCTCGGACGGCTGGTCGGCGATGTTCTCCTGGCGACCGGTTTCCTATCCTACTGCGGCCCTTACAACCAAGAGTACCGCAACAACCTGGTGAAAACGTGGATGCAGAACCTGGAGGCGCGCGAAATTCCCTACACTGTCAACCTGAACATCATCAACATGCTCGTCGAGAGCAACACCGTTTCCCAGTGGACGCTGCAGGGACTGCCAAACGACGAGCTCTCCGTGCAGAACGCCCTCGTCGTCACCAAAGCCCGATCGTATCCGCTCCTAATAGATCCCCAAACTCAGGGAAAAATGTGGATCAAAAACAAGGAGGCGAACAACAACCTCCAACTCACCACGTTAGAGCACAAGTACTTCCGCACTCACCTCGAGGACTGCCTCTCGCTAGGCCGCCCGCTTCTAATCGAAGATATCGACGTTGATCTCGACCCAGTTCTCGACAACGTGCTCGAGAAGAACTTCATCAAATCCGGCTCGATAGAGAAGGTGATAGTCGGCGACAAAGAGTGCGACGTCCTCAAGGGCTTCATGCTGTACATCACCACGAAGCTCCCCAATCCCCCGTACTCGCCGGAAATAAGCGCGAAAACCTCCATCATCGATTTTACGGTAACCATGCTGGGTCTCGAGGACCAACTGTTGGGGAGGGTGATCCTGATGGAGAAAACTGAGCTGGAGGACGAGCGCGTCGCGCTCTTCGAGTCGGTAATGCAAAACCAGTGCAGAATGAAGGAGCTCGAGACGAACCTGCTGAGCCGTCTGAATTCGACGCAGGGTTCGTTGGTCGACGACGAGGAGCTAATCGAGGTGCTGGAGGTGACGAAGGTCACCTCCGAGGAGGTCAACCAAAAGTTGTCGGTCTCCGTCGTGACCGAGAAGAAGATCAACATCGCGCGAGAGGAATTTAGGGCGGTCGCCGCGCGGGGGTCGATCCTCTACTTTCTCATAGTGGAGATGAGCAACGTGAACGTCATGTACCAGAACTCGCTGAAGCAGTTTCTCGGTATTTTCGATAACTCGATCACGAAGTCGACTAAGAGCGCCGATACCGAGGAGAGGATCAACATAATTCTGAAGTATTTGACGTACGAGGTGTGGGCGTTTACACAGAGAAGCCTGTACGAGCGCCACAAGGCGCTGTTCACGCTGATGATGGCGATGAAGATCGACCTGCACAAGGCCGTAATTACGCACGAGGAATTCCTGAGCTTCATCAAGGGGGGCGCCTCGCTCGATCTCAACGGGGTTCGCCCGAAGCCGTTCCGTTGGGTACTCGACATTACCTGGCTGAATTTGGTCGAAATCCAAAAGTATCGGATCTTCGCCGACGTTCTGGATAAGGTGAGAGAAGGTCCAGTTTTACCGATATTTTCTTTGTGGTTTGTAGATCGAGCAAAATGAGAAGGAGTGGAGGAGCTGGTACGAGAAGGAGAGGCCGGAGGAGGAGGAGATACCGTGCGGTTACCAGAAGTCATTGGACGTCTTCCGGAAGTTGTTGTTGGTGAGGTCTTGGAGTCCCGATCGGACGTTGTCGCAGGCCCGAAATTACATCATGGGTGAGAGACTCGCGTTATTTTTACAAGAAGTGAGAGTGTTTGCGCAGACTCGTTGGGCAAACAGTACGGGGAGCCGCCGATCTTGGACCTGGAGCAGACCTGGCTCGAATCTTCCCCGGAAATTCCGCTCATATGCATTTTATCGATTGGCTCGGATCCGTCGCCCCAGGTTCTCGCGCTGGCGAAGAGTAAAGACATAGGTAAGGAATGGGCGGTATTCGAAACGGGGGCGGTAATGCAAACTTGCAGCGATCAAGGCGGTTTCGATGGGTCAAGGGCAGGAGGTGGTGGCGCGCGATATGATCGATACGGCGATGCAAGGAGGCGGCTGGGTCTTGCTTCAGAATGTACACTTGTCGCTACCGTTCGCCTCGGAAGCCATGACGATGATTGCCGATGGCGAAAAATTGGAGGAGTCGTTTCGCTTGTGGCTGACGACGGAAGTGCACGAACAATTTCCGATTGGTCTTCTACAGATGTCGATTAAGTTCACGAACGAGCCACCTCAGGGAATTCGTGCAAGTTTGAAACGGACCTATCAAAGTATCAGCCAGGATTTCCTGGACTATTCCACGCAGCCTCAGTGGCCGCCATTGTTGTACGCCGTGGCATTTCTGCATACGGTCGTGCAGGAACGGCGTAAGTTCGGCCCGCTCGGCTGGAACGTACCGTATGAATTCAATCAAGCCGATTTCGCGGCGTGCGTGCAGTTCATTCAAAACCACTTGGACGACATGGACCCGAAAAAGGGCGTTTCCTGGCCCACTGTCTGTTACATGTTGGGCGAGGTTCAGTACGGAGGACGAGTCACGGACGACTTTGATAAACGCCTGCTGACCACGTTCACCCAGGTCTGGTTCTGCGACGTCCTCCTGCGGCAAGGCTTCGAGTTCTACAAGGGGTACAAGGTGCCACAAACCAGAAGCTTGCAGGGCTACATCGACTACATCAACGGGCTACCGTCGGCGGACATACCCGAAGTATTCGGCCTGCATGGAAACGCCGACATTACCTACCAGATTAACAGCATTAAAGGTCTTTAAGTCACTTTCAATCCATTCCTACATTGATCGATTGCAGGCATTTTGGATACCATCGTCAACGTGCAGCCGAAAGAGGGGGGTGGCGGGGGAGGAGAAACGCGCGAAAGTATCGTTTACAGCTTGGCCAACGACATGTTGGATAAGTTGCCGCAGGAGTACAACAGCTTTGAGGTCAAAGACGCCTTGCAGCGCATGGGCCCTCTATTGCCCATCAACATTTTCCTGCGCCAAGAAATTGACCGCATCCAAAAAGTCATTAAACAGGTAACATCAACACGACACGTTTTTGATCGTGACCTTCGTTAAGAGGATTCCCGGACACGTAACTTGGTCTGGAGATTTCACGGTGACCTTGTTTTATGGTGAAAGGTCGTGATCTGGGATTTTCCATGACGAAAAACGGGAGGGGAGCCTTTTCTACCCACGTCCTACAATTCTACAATCACTTTCAGGTGCGATCGACCCTTACCGACCTGAAATTGGCCATCGACGGTACGATCGTGATGAGCAACGATCTTCGGAAGGCGCTCGACTCAATGTACGACGCTCGCATTCCCGACTGCTGGCTGAAAGTGTCCTGGGAATCGGCAACCTTGGGTTTCTGGTACACGGAGCTGCTAGAAAGAGACGGCCAATTCCGCACGTGGTGCAACAACGGCAAGCCGTACGTGTTTTGGATGACGGGCTTCTTCAACCCCCAAGGTTTTCTAACCGCCATGCGACAGGTTCGGCTCTCTTCCTCTCCACGCACTCACTCTGGCTTTTCAGGACGTGACCAGAGCGCACAAGGGATGGGCTTTGGACTCCGTGGTGCTCCAAAACTTGATCACGCGCTACAACAAGGACGACATCAAGGAGGCGCCGGCCGAGGGCGTCTACATCCACGGTCTGTTCTTGGAAGGCGCGAGCCTCGATCGAAGAACGGGAAAGTTGATAGAGAGCAAGCCTAAGGTCTTGTACGAGCTGATGCCCGTCATTTACATCTACGCGATCAATACGACCGCCGGCAAGGATCCGAAGTTGTACGAATGTCCGATTTATCGCAAGCCGCAAAGGACCGATCAGAAGTACGTCGGATCGATCGACTTTGAGACTGACTACAATGCAAGACATTGGACGCTTAGAGGGGTTGCGCTTTTATGCGATATTAAGTAAATGTTAAATGTTATTTAGTAAAAAGATAGTTTCTTTTGTTATTTGTACTCAGTATGATCTGAAACCTGTATCAGGAACCGTAAAGTCTGAATCTTGAGTCTAGAATAATAGAACCTTGCACTTGGAATACCGAGAGGGGCAGCCCAAGGGGAAAATCTTTTAAAGTCAATAGATTCTTAATGAATATGGCGACCGGATGAGTCGTGATCGGTCATTTGCCTGGGAAAAGTTCATCAACGCCAGTCGGACGGGCGATAACACAATCTTAATGTCTTTTACGTGGCCAAAATGGCCGAATCAGAACTACTCATTGTGGTGTCATGAAGCAGCGTGAGAAGCGCGAACTAAACAATCTTCAAATGTGTTGGGTTTTGGTTGATGGTCCTTATAAGCGCGTGATTCGGTGAAGGAAACGATTGGTTAATAATAGCCGCTTTAACAACCTAACATTTTGTTGGCGGGTTTTGTAAAATTTAAAAAGAAGGGATGAAGTAGAGAGGGTCTATTATTCGTCAATGGCTGTGAATAACCAAATTCGAAAAACCGCGCAAATTATCAGTACGGAAGTGTTGTACGTGACGCATTTTAAAATAAGTTTGCGAGAAATCCGCCTTAGTAAATTATAGAAGTACGAGCGGACTTTTCCGGCAAATAAATCAAAAGTTTAGATTGAAAGTGAGCCTAAAACAAGAATGTTCATTCCTTTACGCCATATGTCGTATAAAACGTTAGCATCAAATTATGGAAACCTCAAATTAACTTGGGGAGGGGGGGGGAGGTGGTTTCCGGAGCCTAAAAAAAGCCTAGACACTTCTAGTAAAAAAAAACAGAAAGCGTTTAGGTTTCCTTAAAAATCCCAGAAGAGCGTTCTACCGCAGTTCGACGGCCCCAAAACTACCACATAAGAGCATAAAAAAATACTCGAGAATTTTCTCCGTTTCGGAAAACTGATCGAAGTACTTGAAATATCGAACGGATTTTGAAAATTTTGAGATTTGAGCCGATTTTGGATAAAAAACATGAGAAATTCAGCTGGTAACCGCACGACTTTTAGAAGAGGAAAGCTGCCTGCGCCTTCTCGAGAACGCTTCGGTTTAGAAACTTCTCTCCTTCAAGATCATATTGCTTTTAACAAAAGGGTTTTATTTCACCAAAGATGAGATCAATTGATAGAGTTTATGTATGCGTGGGAAGCGGCTAGAAACTCCTTTTCTTCCCGGGAAGCTACCTTCCAGTTGATCGGCCTTACACCGACCCGAGTAGTTCCTTTTGGTGGGTCCGAAGTTAAGTAGTCCCCAGAGCGTGGAAAGTTTGTTTCCAGGAAACAAGTGAGTGCCTCACCCGCGGTAGACGTATATCTGCCGCATGGAAGCCTCCGTGTCCCCACCTTTTGCCCCGGGTCCTTCAAAAGGATTTTACGAAGTTTTTGAACTTCAGGAAGACCTTCCATGTTACCACAGAAAGGCCTCCAAGATCCTCGTTTCGACCTCCGAATACGGTCCTTATACCTGCGCTGGGAGATCTTAAGATCTTCCCAGTCCGCAGGTAACTTAGTTCGCATGGCCCTATTAAAGAGCCTGCGAACCTCCTTACGAGCCTTTTCAAGGTCTGAGTTCCACCAAGGTGTTCTCTTCTTCCTCGAAAGGTACGCAGTTTACAGCTGTCCTCATAGGACGCTGTTATGGCGTCGCTTACTAATGCGGCCGCCTCTTCCACCTGCCCTGCTTTCCGACAGAGCAAAGGTGGTCTATCCAACCGGTCCGACAGTTTTGCCACATAGCAGTCCCAGTCAGTGGATCGGGGATTCCGAAACCTACAGGGCCCGCAGTGCAATGCCAGGTTCAGTTGGAAAAGAATGTGCCTGTGGTCCGAAAGCGACGGCTCATCAGACACTCTCCAATTCGTGATCATGTGAGCTATTGAAAAGGAGCCCAGCGTCAGATCAATGACCTCCTGCCTCCGCGCTGTGACGAAGGTAGGGGCTGCTCCCTGATTTAAAACATTCAAATCAGTTGTTTGCAAGTACTCCAGAAGGTGGTCGCCCCTCGAGTTCGTGTCCGTGCTGCCCCACACAACATGGTGTGCGTTTGCATCACAGCCAACCACAAGAGGGAGCCCACTACTTCGACAGTACTCTATCAACTCAGCCAGCTCCTTGGTTGGTGGAGCCCCTTCTGAGTCGTACGGGAGATAGGCGGAGCAGACCACCAAGTGCCTGCCCCGTCCTGTGTCATCTTTCAGCTGAAGTCGTAGAGCTACGAGATCCCTGAAACAAAAATCAGCCATTAGATAAGACTCGATTCGTCTATCGACATAAATGCAAGTCCTCGAGTTCAGTTGGCTGTCCCTCTTATAATAGAGAGTGTCCTCCACCTGGCCCAGACCTCTTACTCGTCCCTTGTAAACCCAAGAGCCAAGAACCGCCACACGAGCGAAAAGCTCGCTGACATCTTTCTCGATCTCTTCGGGCGCCGGTAGCAATCCCGCCGCCTCTTCGAGATCAACACTGCGAGGTTGAGCCCTCTCCGTCGCAACGGAACTAGGTCCCGTTGCTTCGGTGGAGCTCTCTCCCTTACCTCCCGCAGCCGGAGCACCCGCTTTCGTCACAAAAGTGACGCGCGAGACCCCCGCGTGCGCCTGAAGGTTCTGTCGCTGGAGTGCCTGATAGGGCGTCTCATCGACACCAAATGCGAGGAGAATCCTACCAGGCTCCTCCCTGCGAAAGAACGTCCTCCATAGACTCGTCCTGAAACCAGAATTTTGCCTCTGGAGGCGCGTCAAAATGGTGTCCGTGTTATCCGGGAGCTCGGATAACACAGCCATCACCTTGGTTACCCTCGGGACGTGCCTCTGAACTTTCAGCGACGCGCCATCCCAGGGTCTGATAAAAGGGACGGTCCTCTCCAACCAGTACAAGGTCCACTGGTCCTCGCATTCGTCCACGACGGCACCCTGCGGATTCCAGCGGAACCCTGCCAGCCGAGGAAAGGGACCTCCCTCCATCTGGTATGAAACCGGAACGAGGGCCACCTTAAGCCCTGCCGCAGCGGCTTGCCCATAAGTTCGTGGTGCACCCTTGGGTGCATCAGAACCTCTAGACTTCTTCTCAGGCTGCCTTGAGCCAGACCCTGGAGTACTTCCCTCTGATCTGAGACGCTTAGTCCCTGACGTCGGGTTGCCCCCCTGAGCCAACGACCCAGACGCAGCCTTAGGCTTTGGCGCAGGGCCCGCTTGACCCGAGGTTTTACCCTCGAGCCGGCGCTTCCTGGCCATCGCCTTCTGTGCGCCAGTCCTATTCTTCTTGCGAATAGGAGCTGACCCACCACCAGGTCCTTGGGTAAGACCCTGCGTTGGAGCCGGTCCCTCTTTCGAGGAGCCTGCCCCGTTACCGGGCCCCTTTTGAGGGCCCGGCTTGTTGGTCCCCTCTGACCAGGAGCCCAGAAAGGTTTTGTTAGAAGATTCCATACAATTCCCACGAGTAGTGCGGAAATGCGGTCTCACTTGGGCAGAGCCGCTTGCCCAGGGCTTGGCTGCCAGCCCCTTCCCAAAGGAAAGGAGCCACCACTCGGAGGTATGTTAGCCTGATTCTCTTTGTATCAAACTAACAGTAATGGAAGGAGGTGCAGGTATTTGGCACGCACCTAGTGGCGTACTAGGTTCTCCTAACGCAAATATTCTTTTAAAAACTCTTGTATCAGGAGAAGTCTGTTTTAAAAATTGTTGTATCAGGATTACAGAAACGCAAAAATGTGTAGCGGTTATTGGGACATATACTCGAACAAAGTATGTTCCTCTGATACAAATCTAACTCACTAATAGCAAGAATACGCATATCACGACAACCCTCGTATCATTTTTCGTCACGTTTAGCCCTTTTGCGCCCTTAACAACTGAACGAATGAAGTGCGTTGATATTAACGCGCTTTTCCACTATGTCAACAAATATGGAAAATATCCTGTTGGTCACCCGGCGATGCAAATTGGAAAAATCTGCACAACAATAATACACAATATAACAATTAGTATATCACCCCACGCTGCCTAGAAAAAAACAAATTATTGTTCACGCTCTAAAGCTCCTGTGGCGAAGATTTCAGGGAAAAGATGTAAATGTTACCGAACAACGTGACTTGAAAAATATATAAGTAGGTAATTCAAATGGAGTGAGTCCTCTTTCTATATTCGATGGTATACAATTGCAAAATGCTTATTGGGGGGTGTTCGAAATGTGGTATTTTTTATTACTAGATAAGTTACTAAATTCACTACGGTCTGGTCACCCTTGATCGCGACCGTTGAATTCCTAGCTTTTCGTTTGTGCCGTTTGTCTTGATCCGAGCAACCTACTGCTTGGAATTGCAAGTTTTTCGCTCTTCCCCACAATCTCCATTTGAATTGCCTCCAACGTCTTTTGCTTAGTCTCCGGCACACAGTAGTACACGAATAGGAATCCAAAAAATCCGCACAGCGTAAATAATGAAAACGGGGCGTAGAGCCCGTAGGCATCGAGACTAATCTGGAATAACTTTAACCCGACCACGCTGATCACGCAGAAGTACCCCTCGTATAAACTTAGCGCGAAGAATTTGACATTCGGCGCGAAGAGCTCCCCGGAGATGACGACCGGTATGATTTGCAATCCCACACTGAAGCCTAGCAGGAACAGCATCATTCCTACGAGCGGAATGAAGTTGACGCTTTCCATGTTGAGGTGTAGGCCGTCTTTCAGGTAGAAGTAAACGGACTCGATAGCCAGACTTAAGGTGACGCCGACTGTTGAAATTAAAAGCAGAGGTCTCCGCCCGTACTTGTCCACCAAGGCCAGTCCTAGCAGTGTGAAGACGAGCTGAGCCGTCAGGTAGATCAAAGAGGAGATCCAGTTTTCTAGAGGCCCGCCGACGTCTTGGAAGATCTCCTGCGTGTGGAATATGAAAACAATGTTCCCGCTGAAAACGTGCACGGAGATCAGGGTGAAGCAGATGTAGATGGTTCTGCGATTGTAGCTGGAGGTAAACAGCCTCAGATACGTGCTGACGCTGACCTTTTCATCGTAAATCATCGAGAGGATTCGTTCGAGCTCATCGTCTACTACGTCAGTGTTTCGGAGTTTCCTCAACGCAGTTCTGGCGCCATCCATATTACCTTTCGACACCAATCTGTAGGGACTTTCAGGCACGAAGAAAAGCAAGAGGAAGACCGCCGATGGAACTGCTGCAGAAATAATCGCGCATGTCCTGAATGTGGCGAAGGTACCGATGACGTTCTCCGCGAGTATGCCTAGCATTCCGTAGACCATCATGCTAGAAAGGAAGAAACCTCTTAATGACGGTTTCGATATTTCCGCGACGTAGACGGTAAGCGCGCACAGAAGGATCGCGTCCCCGGCTCCGGAGAAGGTTCTCGCGATGATTATTTCGGCGATACTCTGCGCGCAGGCGATTATCACCCACGAGATTATCAACAGGAGGGTCGCAAAAATGATGACACCCTTCTGGCCGATGTACCTCATCAAGAAAGACGCCAGTGCGCTCGCGATCAAGCTTCCTCCAAAGTAGCTCACTGAGATCCAGTATTCGTCCTCGCTCGTTGTTGGTATGTGGGAACCATTACCGACGAGCTGGGGGAGAGCCGTCGACGTCCACCCGTAATGCATTCCGCTGCTCATCGAGGACAATCCCGCTAAAACCACACGGTCGTTAACACACAACTGCCGTTGTCACATGCACTTACCGATCGTCATCGCCAAATAGTCGCGAGCCATGGACACGCCACAGTTGGAGTTCCGTCCCGAAAAGAGCTCTACAACCACAAACCACGAAATTTAAGTCTTCACACTTAATCCGACACAATGAGATTACATAACACCGATTTATTTTCGTATTCCAAAAGGCATTTATAGCCAGATAAGAGCAGTAAATGCGTCACTTTATTGTAGGGATTAAGTTAATCTTAGAGCGCAGATAATTTATCTGGGCTTAGACTAATCAAGCGAATCGTGTTGTTGCCATGTTCAGCAAAAACGCCACCAATATTTGAAGAATTATGGATGTACGGCGGGAATAACGTACCTACTTCTGTTCCTACTGGAGAGGGGCGATTGAGATGTGAAAGTAGTGTGGGGTCGGTGGAAGGAAAGGTGCAGGGAAGACTGGCAGGTTTGAAGCATGTGAGACAAGTTGGAAGGAAGTGGAATATGACAATGTCAGGAAGACTCAAAACTGAGACAAAGCAGAGGTAAAGGGGTCGTGAGGAAGCCTTGAACAATACATGAAGAAGATTTCAAAGAGGCCCGAAGAAGTTTATATGAGATTATATATGGGCGCCTCCCATGCCCATTTTTCGGGACTTTCCCGCAATAGTTCTGAAGATCATGCGGATTTGCCGTAAATAAGAACGATCTTGCATCTTATCACCAAAACCGCCACATATCTAATGCCATAATTCGGTAATAAACCGAAAATTATTTCAACCCGCCACACGTGATCCGGTTATTGAGGGGTCCATCCCTACCCCATATGTATACGTAGGCCCCAATGAATAAACCATTTCTTTAAATCCAAAATTCTGGTACTTCTGACGTTCTTTATACGAGGTGTGGTATGATTCATTTTAATAACAAGTCCTGCGTTTCCAATATTGCTTTTAAAAGCGTAGTAAAGAGTAAAAATCGTTTGAATCACTTTACACATACCTTCCAGGCTGTTAATCTCTGATTTGTGGATTAGGTCCTTTGCTCAATAAAAAGCGAAGCGATGTCTGAGAAGTAAATATAAAAAAAAATATTCCGCGCAGAAAACATAAGCTTTGAAGAAACTGATTTTTGAAATTCTTATGGTTCATATGTATAGAACGAGGCGAGACGGCGTAGCCGCCGAAAGCGGGCCATGTCCCTACAATTTTGTAAATGAGTAAGACGATATTGTACGGTATTGTTTTAAAATTATAAGACATACCAGCTGGTACTCCGCGTATTACGACTCGAAGCACCTCCTCACTCATTATATTATCCTGATACAAGATTTTAATTTAATTTGAAACATTTTGGTGACCTCATCGTCCACCGTGTTCTCCTATAGTAACCACGGAAAGTTTAAAACTAGTGGCCAAGTGCGTGCTAGGAGCAGGAACACTTTCTCACGCATCATATTCTCCGGATACAAGATTTAAAACAATTTAAAGTGTTGAAATATATGAAAAAGGACTCCTCGTCCATTATGTTCGCGTGGTAACTATAACAATTTTACAAGTGTTTGCCAACCCATACTCCGCATATTATCATGTTCTCCTGGTACCCCGAAAAATGTTGGGTTTGCCAGCTGATAGGAGCACAGTATATTGTCCTGATACAAGATTTCTAATTGTATCAGGATCACAGTAGCTCACAACTTATAAAGTTTATGGGGAAAGGAATTCGGTAACGTTTCTGAATCTAGAAAAGTCTAGAAGGAGACTAGAACTGTTCAAAAAGTGCTTAGAGGGTCTTGGAAAGAATACGGTTAGCTTTGAAACGAGTCTGAGAAGCGCCCAAAAAGGTCACGGGAACGTATTCAGAAGGTGTCGTCTATCGTACGCCTCAGGATAGTTAACTATATATCACGTTTATTGGGCGATCGTCGAGAATTTGTCTACTCCATGAAGCATTTCAATGGTACGGCATCCGTTTAACCAGATTTACTGGAATTGTTCGGCTCACGCACCAAACTTTATGGGTAAAAGCCATGGAGTAAAGCAGTTACCCGTCTGGGATACTTGGCTTCGCCACTGAAAACAGTGACTACTGAGCCCCACCACCACGACAAGGTGTATCCCATGGAGGGGGATGGAGGGCAAGTTCATTGGCATGGCCAATGTTGATGCAGAGTTTAATGAGTAATGACTTTTTAACACGGAAATGCAGAGAATAACAAAACGGTCCTAGGAATGAACCTTGAGGAACGCCGCCAAGCGGAGCCGATACATGTTTGTTAATACGTACAGACGTATGGACAGAAAAGCGTTCGAATGCTTTCCAGGTTATCACGGTACGTTCAACGGCCCTTTACAGCTATTTCTAGCGTATAGAAAGCTCTGTAAATTGTCTTGATACATCTATAAAAGTCCTAAGGTGCCCCGGAAAGAGGTTATAATGTGCTAACCTGCTGTTAGTCGTCTTCTAACTGGTTTAACTCTCCTGATACAAATTTCTAAATTGTATCAAGATCAGTAGGCGCAACTGTTCTAGAAAAATTCTCTCTTTAAGCAATTCAGAAAGGAAATTTGTATCAGGAGCACAGACTTATTTTTTCTAACGGGAGGGGTTCTCGCCAAAGCAACGTATTTAATAGAAAATGTTGATCGTCTAACAACCACTGCTCTAAATGATATCTATTAAAACAGTCTCGAAGAAAATGTATTGTAACAGGAGTGTCTCTGTCTACCAAAAGCAAAGTATTCTATCAGGTGCTTAGAGATGCAAAATTCAGATCAACTGACAATCTCTGTCTGCCGCATTCTCAAGCAGTTAAAAAAAAATTGAATTAGGAACATATAAATATCTTTGCTAATGCTAAAGTGACTAAATATAGACAGTACCGCAATCCATTGGGCTCGTGTGTTAGAGAGAACGCATGATTTTTGCCCAAAAATGGCGAAAGTTACCAGATTCTAGTAACTTTAATGTTAGGGATTGTTCCACCTGTTTGGAGATATCTGTATAAATTTTTATAAAACATGACAGTACTATGAAGTTAGGTTATAAAAAATTACAGCTATTCAGATTTTATTTGTCAATTTTTTTAAGTTGGCAGCAAATTTGCCCAAAAATGGTGGATGATTGCGGTACTTTCTATATCTATTATAGTACGTATTAATCTTTACGTCACATGGACGTCCATTTTTAGTACATGGACGAACTTACCAAAAATTGTACGTCCAATGGATGATGTGTGCTATATGGAAGAGTTTTCCAACTGATACTCTGTGTCTATTAGCTCAATTTTATTTCAGAACTGTTATTATAAGTTACAAACCTCTATTTGACAATAACATTGCAATACATTTTCAGTGAGTAAACTGCAATTAATCTGCATTAAACTACATTAAAAAACGATGTGCAAGCAGTTCTCCAATAAACGCCATTACGGATAACACCACACCAAAACAGAAAACAATAAAAATTCCATTCAAGTGCTCTAAAGATAACGCCACCACTTCTTCTTCTTGCGGTAATTCCCTTCTTTGGGAGTCTTCGTAATATTGTCGATCTCTGTCTAGTTTATCGTACAATCCGCTTTCGGTCAATCTGTCGATGACTATGTTTAAACTGTCGATAATGAAACTAGTTTGCCATCCCGTACCAACAAAAGTCTGTTTCGAGGGAGGTAAAACGTGATTATCAATGAAGTAATTTGGAGTACGCAATCGTAAATTCAGTGCCTGTGCGTGTAGTGTTTTCAATGGAATAGCGATAGAGAAATTTGGACGTGCGGACCAAGTCTCCAGTAACACACGAGGATTGCTAGTTGTTATGGGACATAACCTTAAATTTATCTTGTTGTATATTTCATTAAGTTTGTCAAACCTGTTTGAATTCATCACGGATAGGGCGCTAGAATCCAAACAAATTGGAGTATCAGCCTCTAGCAGTTCATTTAGATTTTGAATAGGTGGGCTTCTTGGAGGTGAAGTCATCAGACGCATTAAGTTTGAGACGTACGCTGTTTGTATGTGCACACTGTATATAATGTAGCACAGAATTACGAATCTTAATTTTGAAGATTGGGTAATGCGACTGGTGCTTCCAAATAGCGTGATCCCAAGAGTCTTCAGAACAATTTCACCCACGCTTGTTTTGAATTTGTCCAAAACATACCAAGCTAAGGAAAATAATGCAAAAACCACCCAAACTAATATCCAAACTTCCAATTCAAAATTAACTGCCAAAATTTCCAATGCCGAAATGGCATTTGTTGGTGGAACTACCCACACCAAGACGTCTCGTATATACACGTGACTCATACGAGGGCCTCCTTGAATACGGGAAGATAGTTGTCCATCACCTACAATAATCTTGGCACGATCCATTGGAGTTTTGACTAAAGACGCATTCAACATTTCAACCGCCATGGTAATTGTAAAAGTCCTGCGATTAAATTCATCCAAATACCGCGTAAGACTACTAGAACGGAAATCTATGGAACACCTGTGGTAATCTTTGATAGGATGTGGAATTGTGTCGGAGATCGCTTGAACACAGTTTTGCACATGCATTCTGTTCAGGACTTTGCCGGAATTGTTCTGAACATCATACGGACTGGCGGTAAACAAGAACGAACTTGCCTCTTCATCCTCGTTAATCGACAAAATCGCGCTACACGGGCAATACCATAACTCCATAGTAAATCGAAAATCTTTTCAATGCGCAATATATGATCGGTTATAAGAAGTACTCTTGCAATTATGGGTCCAAACAAACTCCATATTCCGACCGATCGCAAATAAACAATACATCTTTCTAAATAATCCAAATTTCTGACTTCTAATATGACGTTATTGGAAACCTTCCTCCTCGCAGAAAGTATGGGAATACTCGTGTTAATAACAGCCATTGGGTTTCTTATATGGATCGGTAACAGGTCACTACTTCCCTTGAAAACATAGTGAAGGGCTTCGTCTCCAAAAATCGTTTGAATCACTTTTTCTGTACATACCTTCCAGGATGTCTGGTTATTTTTTAGTGAAATGCTACCTGCGCTACTTAAGAAAGATACAAACGTGACACATGATACAAACGTTGTAACTTTCATATTGGCGTGCTACTTCTATCATACAATACTCAAACTGAATCGTTAGGTACTGAGTGACGATAGAACGTTTACCTACCTACCTGCTCATTTGTAGCGTGAGTCAACATGGACTAATGCGTTTTTTGTATACACCGCGAGCACTTTACGACATAACTATTATACCTTGTATTATATTGTGTTGTATTTGCTTAGTAAAGTGCTCTTTTTCATGTACTCAGTGGACAACGCATTAGTAATGCGATCGATGGCTGCCGGAGAGATATGAAAATAGAAGGTCGCCATTTCAACAATTCCGCTTTTATTTACTATATCATTTGGGATTATATACTTGTATCCTATATATACATATTTAACTACATGATTTATTTGTGTACATTTCATTATTAAAGTTCACATACTATTAACGCCAAACCAAATTAAAACGTTTTTTTAAATAAAGAATTTGTTAATTATTCTTTATCACTTACTTGTAAGCAAATTTATAACACGAGGGCGAATTTCACTATTTATTTCTTCGGCATAAACATTAAGATGAAAAAACATATTCCACTATACGCATGTGCATTGTGAACTTTCTGATTTATCGACCGATCTTACTGAAATTTTAACAGTAACACCTTTTAATAAAAGAAAATCGATCAAATTATACGCGAAAAGCTTCGTACAAATTCGAATGTTTCCTCCTGATCCATTACGTTTTCCTGGTAAATGCCAACGGATACTCCGAAAATTACGAGTCGGGGCACCTCCTCGCACATTATATTCTCCTAATATAAGATTTTATCAAATAACTTTTATTTAGTTGTCCGTCAGTTGGCACAACTTCTTGTATTGCCTCTCTCTCTTTACATCCCCACATAGCCGGTTCCTTTCTTCCATTTCCTTTTTCTTCTCCCTCGCTGCGCTCCACCGATCCCTCAACATCCCATTGCCCCTTAACACGTGGCTCATCTCTTTCTAATATTGCTTAACAGTTGTCTCCAGTTGACTCCATTTTACTATTAACAACCTCCTCCAAGTCAACATCTCGAATGCTTCGTCTTTCTAATTCTCTTTGTCCATACCTCACACTCATACAACGGCCTTTTCTCAATTCTAAATCTGTCTTACTGTTATTGTTCCAATTCCTCTCCCCTTATCCTTACATCCATTACTTCTTCTGCACCAACTTTCATTACCTTCGACTTCTTGTGGTTAATTCTCAATCCATACGTGGCTTTCATTTCTTCCAGACGTTTCTACGTGTTTTCAGCAAATATGATCATAATCAGCAACCCTGACTGACCTATTTTTTCTCCCTTATTCCTTTCCCAGCACTTCCTCACCACATCCTACATACAGATATACAATAAAAACTGCTGAGGGGTATTCCAGTTCAGTTGGGGAAACATAGTGCCGGGGGTCTTCAATACCTCCCGGCCGTGTACTAACATTAGATTACTGTTTGTGAAAGACCACCATGGGATGCTTGAGGTAATAAAGAACGAAATATCGAGTACTAGTTTACCGGGTACTGTTGGAAAGTACCTATTTAGCAACCCCCAGACCCTCCGGTAGTATATTGGACTGTCTACTCCCAAAAACTATAAGGAACTAAAGGAAGACAGAGCGCTCAGTTAGGAAATCATAGTACCGAAGAGTCGGGGGGGGGGGGGGGGGTTATAGAATATCCACCAGTATACAAACATTCGATTACTGTTTGCGAAAGACCGCCATAAGGATGTTGGAAATAATTAATAGAGAAGCGAGTACTAGTTTATACTTTTTGTAGGGTATTGTAGATAGATAGAAAGCTTCGATAAGAGGCTAAATCAAACCGGTTTAAACGTGATTTGAAGCCCTCGGAATCGCTTGGATAAAACGCTATTGGACTCCTATGGGAAACCTTCAAATGGTTAAGGAAGGAAGTCCTGGAAAGTGTTCGGAAGATGCCTACCGTGTACGCCTCAGTGTGGTTTGTTCTACACTCGGGTCGATATAGTTCCCTGTATCACGTCGAGAATTCT